CCCCCCCAGGGGCCGGAGCCGGGTCCTACAGCCCCTGCCTGGGGCTGTATCTTGTTGCAGCATTATTCAAAAATAAAAGCCCTGTTCTACATTGTGTTTTTCCAGTTTTTTGGCTCAAAATGTCCTCAGGCACTGCTGACAGTTTGAAGTGGGCAGTACTCTGGGCATCTCAGTCTCTACTGGGGGATCTTAGGAGTGGGGAATGCTGCTCAACATAGAATGGTTTGGGTTGCAAGGGATCTTTAAGATCATCTCCTTCCAACCCCCTGCCATGGGCAGGGACACCTCCCATGAGACCAGGCTGCTCCAAGCCCCATCCACCCTGGTCTTGAACACATCCAGTGATGGAGCATCCACAGCTTCCCTGGGCAACCTGGGCGAGTGTCTCCTCACCCTGAGTGAAGAACTTCTTCCTCATTCCTAATCTTAACCTCCCCTCTCCCAGTTTGAAACCATTACCCCTCGTCCTGTCAGTACAATCCCTTGTGAAAATTCCCTCCCCAGCTCTCTCACAGCCCCCTTGAAGTCACGGAAAGCCATCATAAGGCCTCTCTGAAGCCTTCTCCTCTCCAGGCTGAACAAGCCAAACTCCCTCAGCCTGGCCTCCCGGCAGAGGGGTCCCAGCCCCCGGATCATTGCTGTGGCCTCCACTGGCCCTGCTCCAAGAGTTCCATGTCCTTCTTGTGTCATCGTCTGTAGGACGGGTCAGATCCTTCAGCCCCGAGACTTCACTGCTGTCCTGGAAACCTGCAGGGAGGCTCTTTTGTCACCACCAAACCAAGGGCTTTCAATAATCCTTTAAGCTCGCTGTCCACCTCCCTCAGCACACGCAGGGCTCGTCGGTGCCAGGCCAGAACACGAGGCAGTGGGTGATGTCACGCTCAGTTCTCAGCAGAGACAGCAAAGTCTTTTTTTCCTCCCTAAAACATGCAGAAAAGAATCCTGCAGACCGAGCCAGTTCACTGCTTCTTTATCCAGCTTGGCTTCACTCCACGTCTTGCTCCAGCTTTACACAAGGAAATCTGCCGGGCCCCAGTGCCTGACACTGCAAGGGAAGAAGGATGGCACCACGGCCACGCCCGCAGCCAGCGCCGCCTTGGGGGTGGCACAGCAGAGAAACAACGTCACCACCTTCATCTAACAGATGCCTTGTAATAGTAAATGAAAGCTTAAGAAAACTTCTGAAGAGCTGCCCCCCCAGCCCGAGCCTACCCCTCCTGAGCACAGGGCACAGCGTGTCAGAGCTCAGCACGTGCCCCAGGGCCACTCGGCTTTGCCAGGCCAGCTGGGTTCCCGTTCTCTTGCCAGCGTGGCAGGAGCTGGTGCCTCTCAAAGGCAGAGCACGCCT